AAAGATAATCAATTTCAACCAAGAATAATCTACCTAGCTAAATTAAGCTTCATCAGTGAGAAAGAACTAAAATCTTTCCGAGAAATTCAATTCCTAAGAACTTGTACTGTCTCTAGACAAATCTACAAGAAATACTTAAAACAATATTAAACACAGAAGAAAGGGAAAAAAGAACAACAATATTCTTCACAAGAATGCAGGAAAAAGATAAAAAACACACATGAATCAAACCAAAAACAAAAGAAACACAACAAACAAACAGGAACAACAACACTTATATAAGAACCTAATGACAGGGATAAATGCTCACATTTCAGTAATTAGCCTGAATATGAATGGACTAATTGCACCACTGAAAAGACATAGAATGGCAAAATGGATAAAATATCATGAGGCAACAATATATTGTCTCTAAGAGACTCATCTCACCAAAAAGGACACTCACAGACTCAAAGTAAGAGGATGGGAAGCAAAATGTAAGGGGGATGGAAAACAAAAGAAAGCTGGAGTTGCCATCTTAATCTCAGTAAAATACCTTTTAAACTATCAAAAATTTAAAAAGATGAAGAAGGTCATTATATACTGATAAAAGGTTCAATCCATCAGCAAGAAATATCCATCCTAGCCGGGCTCGGTGGCTCAGCCTGTAATCCTGCACCTTTGGCAGGCTGAGGTGAGTGGATTGCCTGAGCACACGGGTTCGAAACCCGCCTGGGCAGCGAGACCTCATCTCTACAATAAATAAAAAATAAAATCAGCCAGGCATGGTAGCGCACGCCTGTAGTTCCGGCTACTTGGAAGGCTGAGGCGGAAGGATCACCAGAGCGCAGCAGGTCGAGGCTGTGGTGGCCGGGAGCGGCCACTGCACTCCAGTCTGGGCGACAGAGTGAGATTCCAACTCAAAAAAAAAAAAAAGAAAAAAGAAAAAAAAAATATTGAAATAGCAGGGATTGGTGGCTCAGCCTGTAATCCCGCGCCTTTGGGAGGCTAAGGTGAGTGGATTGCCTGAGCCTGCGGGTTCGAGACCCGCCTGGGCAGCGAGACCTCATCTCTACAATAAATCAAAAAATCAGCCGGGCGTGCTAGCGCATGCCTGTAATTCCGGCTACTTGGAAGGTTGAGGCAGAAGGATCGCCAGAGCCCAGCAGGTCGAGGCTGCGGTGGCCGGGAGCGGCCACTGTACTCTAGTCTGTGCGACAAAGTGAGACTCCAACTCAAAAAAAAAAAAATTGAATTATTTTACAATGAAAGCACATGTATTTTAAAAAGGAACTTACTAAAAAGATGACTATCCATAAGCAATGAAGCCAATGACAGGCAAAATCCTACAATTATAAATGTCATGGTTAAAGTAACTAAGTATCCATTTAAAGCCTGCTGCTACATGAAGCATGTCTAAAGACAACCAGGGTAAAGCAGTCTCTGAAAAGCTTGTTAGAAATGCAGAATCTTGGAACTCACTCTGAAACAGATTCTGCTTTTGATCAAGATTCTCGAGTGATTCATAGGCATGTCAAGTGTAAAAAGCAGATTTTTAAAGAATTAAGAAAAATGTTAACTGACCAGTCACAATAAATGAAATAGAGAAAATTCTCATGGTGTTAATATAGCTACTTAAATAATCCCACAAATTTCATTTAGAAGCTAAACAAGTCAGGCACAGTGGCTCACCCCTGTAATCCCAGCACTTTGGGAGGCGGAGGCGAGAGAATCACCTGAGCTCAGGGGTTTGAGACCAGACTGAGCAACATGGCCCAGCAGGTCAAGGTTGAGGTGGCTGTGAGGGTGCCACTGTACCACAAACCTGGGCGACAGTGAAACTCCAACTCAGTAAAATAAAAGAAAAGAAAAGAAAAGGTAAGGCCAGGTGCAGTGGCTCATACCTATAATCCCAGCACTTTGAGAGGACAAGGTAAGAGGATTACCTGAGCCCACAGGTTCGAAACCAGTCAGGGCAACTTGGCAAGACCTCATCTCTACAATAAATCAAAAAAATAGCTGGGTGTGGTGGTGCATACCTGTAGTTCCAGCTACTTGGAAGGCTGAGGCAGAAGAATCACCTGAGCCCAGCAGGTCAAGGCTGCTATGGCTGTGAGCGTGCTACTGCAGTCCAGCCTGGGTGACGGAGTGAGACTCCAACTCAAAAAAAGTAAATAAAATAAAAGTTGTCAGCAGACACTCTTGCTGCTGTCTTTCCCACTGGCTCTTCACAATGTTATCTCCTCTTTAACAAATCTACCTTCCATAAGTCAAATAGAAAAAAAAGCTAAAAAATATACCCAACACAACTAAATTTTTATTACTTAAATTTTGTAATTTTGTAAATGTACAGAGTAATGCAGATAATACCCTCTTTTATCCCCAGTTCTTTTAAAACCCAAACAAATTCTTTAAAAAACACTTTGTCATAGCTTACCAAAGACAGAAAGTTGATACTATTGAAAACAGACTTACTAGCTGCTGTTGCAACTGGCTGAGCAATATTAGCAGGTGGCTTCAGTTTCATGAGTTCATTAAGACTATTATTTTTTAGTAGATCCTTCAGCTGAACCTGATCTTTTGAAGGTGCAGAGGTCATGGCATTCCGTACTGCTGGTGCTGAGACTGAAGGGCGTGTGTTTGCAGTAGTCTGGATAAACTTAGTTAAAGTGATGGTTTGCCTATTGGTTGTTACAGGTGGTGTTTTCGTCATTACAATTGTAGATCCCAATGTTGGAAGCTGATTTATTTGATTCAGCACAAATGTTGTAGTAGATGGAGGCTGCTGCTAGAAAACAAAACACATGACACCACTGAAAATGCTTTGCTCTCTAACACAGCCTATATTCATAAGCATAGTAGGCTACTAATTTGTTTTCTTTTTTTTGAATTGTTGTCTCACTCTGTCACCCAGGCTGGAGTGCAGTGCCACGACCACAGCTCACTAGAGCCTTGACCTCTTAGACTCAAGCAAACTTCTCTCCTTAGCCTCTCAAGTAGCTGAGACCACAGGGGAGGGCCACCGTGCCTGGCTAATTTTATTTTTTAGATACATGGTCTTGCTATGTTGCCTAGGCTGGCTTTGTACTCCTGGGCTCAAGCAATCCTCCTGCCTTAGGCTTACAAACTGCTAAGATTACAAGCACGAGCCACCACACCCAGCATAGTAGGGCATTTGACAATCTAAAATTGTTATTCTTGGCTAACTATGGGCACTTCATTTCTAATCTTAACTTGATTAGCTATAACTATCAAGTTAAAACATACCAATTTTGCCTTGGGAGGCTGAGGTGAGTGGATTGCCTGAGCCCGCAGGTTCGAGACCCGCCTGGGCAAGTTGGTGAGAACTCATCTCTACAATAAATTAAAAAAAAAAAAAAATTAGCCGGGCGTGGTAGCGCGCGCCTGTAGTTCCAGCTACTTGGAAGGCTGAGGCGGAAGGATCGCCGGAGCCCAGCAGGTCGAGGCTGCGGTGGCCGGGAGCGGCCACTGCATTCCAGTCTGGACGACAGAGTGAGACTCCAACTGAAAAAAAAAAGTCAATTTGAAGATAGCAATATGTCTGTAACTATAAATGCAATCATTTATTTTTATTTATTTATTTATTTTTTTGAGTTGGAGTCTCACTTTGTCGCCCAGACTGAAGTGCAGTGGCCGCTCCCAGCCACCGATGCCTCAACCTGCTGGGCTCTGGCGATCCTTCTACCTCAGCCTTCCAAGTAGCCGGAACTACAGGCGCGAGCTACCACGCCCAGCTAATTTTTTGATTTATGGTAGAGATGAGGTCTCGCCAAGTTGTCCAGGCGGGTCTCAAACCCGCAGGCTCAGGCAATCCACTCACCTCAGCCTCCCAAGGCGCGGAATTATAGGCTTAGTCACCGAGCCCGGCTAACCAATTATTTTTACAAACACAAATCTATTTCTACTCTCTTTCCTCCTTAATCTATTATTTCTCCATGATGCTTTTAACAAGAGTCTTTTTTTTTAATTTACAGACAAGGTCACACTATGTCACCAAGAGTGGTGTGCAGTAGCACAATGAAAGCTCACTGCAGCCTCCAACTCCTGGGTTCAAGCAATCCTCCAATCTCAGCCTCCTGAGTAGATGGGACTAGACATGCACCACCATGCCCAGATAGCTTTTTGGTCTCTCTCTCTCTTTTAAGGTGGGGTCTTGCTATGTTGCCTAGCCTGGCCTCAAACTCCTGACCGCAGTCATCTTCCCACTTTGCCCTCCCAAAATGCTGTAATTACAAGCATAGTCATCACACCTGGCCTAACAACACTCTTCTGGATTACTATTTATCACTTTTAAATAGAAGTCTCAATAATTCATCACCTAGTATCAAATTTTAACCAAAAAGTTTGTCCAATAACTTTACACCATAAGGCTTCATTAATAATTGCTATGCAGCCGGGCGCAGTGGCTCACCTCTCTAATCTCAGCACTTTAGGAGGTGGAGGCGAGAGAATTACCTGAGCTCAGGGGTTCAAGACCAGCGTGAGTAACATGGCGAGACCTCGTCTGTACAATAAATCAAACAATCAGTCGGGCTTGGTGGCACATGCCCATGGTTCCAGCTACTTGAAAGGCTGAGGGGAAAGGATCACCTGAGCTCGGCTAATCAAGGCTACGGTGGCTGTGAGAGTGCCACTGTACTGCAGCCTGGGAAACAGAGAGAGACTCCAACTCAAAAATACATACACACATACATAATTGCTATGTTTAGGCTGGGTGCAGTGGCTCACACCTGTAATCCCAACACTCCGGTAGGCTGAAGCAGAACAATCGCTTGAGCCCAGAAGTTCAGGATCAACCTGGGCAACAAAGTGAGACCATGTCTCTACAAAAATAAATTTAGCCAGGCATGGTGGCTCACACCTGTAATCTCAGCACTTTGGGAGGTGGAGCTAGAGGACTGCCTGAGCCCAGGGGGTTGAGACCAGCCTAGGCAACTTGGAGAGAACTCATCTCTACAATTAAAAAAAAAAAATTAGCTGAACATGGCAGCGTGCTCCTGTGGTTCCAGCTATTTGGAAGGATCACTTGAGCCCAGCAGGTCGATGCTGCAGTGGCCATGAGCATACCACTGTACTCCAGCCTAGATGACAGTGAGACTCTGACTCAAAAAAAAATAACTCAGTCCAGAAACAATGGCTCAAGCCTGTAATTCCAGCACTTTGGGAGGCCAAGGTGAGAGGACTGCCTAAACTCAGGTGTTTGAGACCAGCCTGGGCAACGTGGCAAAATCTCATCTTTACAATAAATCAAAAACTAGCTGGGTGTGGTAGCGCGCGCCTGTAGTTCCAGCTACTTGGAAGGCTGAGGCGGAAGGATCGCCGGAGCCCAGCAGGTCGAGGTTGCGGTGGCTGGGAGCGGCCACTGCACTCCAGTCAGGGCGACAGAGGGAGACTCCAACTCAAAAAAAAAAAAGATATTTTCTTACTACAATCCCAAACTATTTTAGAAGTAATGCCAAGTCTAAATAATTCTTACCCTCACATTTAATAGTGCTGGTGTAGGTAAGGTCTCCGGTTCTTGTTTAACAGGAACTGCTGCATCAGTCTCCAAACCTAGTTCTAATGCACTAAGTGGCATTGACTAAGGAGAAAACAACATAAAAGAAGAAATAAAGAAGGACAGCAGTAAAAATGGTCTCAAGAACAAGAGCTGCACTTATTTTATTATAACAAAAAATATCAAGCTTCACATTCAAACTGAATGTGAATCACAAATACCAGATATAATCTTTTTAAGCATAAAACTCCACAAAACCATGCTAACATTAGAATCTTATCTTTGCTTTCAGAGCACGTGTATACAATGGGATCACAAAAGAATGTTCCTAAATAAAGTAATAAAATTACTACTGGCCACACTTGGTGGCTCAACCTGTAATCCCAGCATTGGGGAGGCCGAGGTGAACGGGTCTGAGCCTGTAGGTTCGAAAGCAGCCCAGGCAACTTGGCAAGACCTCATCCTTAAATTAATTAAAAATTAGCTGCCCGTGGTAGCACACACCTGTAGTTCCAACTACTTGGAAGGCTGAGGCAGAAGGAACACAGGAGCCCAGCAGGTCAACACTGGGGTGGCCATGAGTGTGCTGCACACCAGCCTGGGCGACAGAGTGAGACTTCAACTCAAAAAAAAAAAGACAACTACTAAGAAATTATTTTCTCTTTTTTTTTTTTTGAGTTGGAGTCTCACTCTGTCACCCAGACTAGAGTGCAGTTGCTGCTCCCGGTCACTGCAGCCTCGACCTGTTGGGCTCCGGCGATGCTTCTGCCTCAGCCTTCCAAGTAGCTGGAACTACAGGCGCACGCTACCACACCCAGCTAATTTTTTATTTATTGTAGAGATGAGGTCTCGCCAAGTTGCCCAGGCGGGTCTCGAACCCATGAGCTCAGGCAATCCACTCACCTCAGCCTCCCAAGGCGCGGGATTACAGGCTGAGCCACCGAGCCCGGCTCTACTAAGAAAATTAAGGATACTCCCACAAAACCTCTAAGTAATTCATCTCTTACGTTTTCTGTATACATATAATAATATCAAAGCAGAAAATAACGTCTTGGTTTTTATTATATTTTCTACCTCATAAATAAAAATGACTACTCAATATGAAAATAATATTCACATATAAGTTTTTTTTTTTTGAGTCAAGGTCTCATTGTATCACCCTGGTTGGAGTGCAGTGGCACAATCACGACTCACAGTAGCCTTGACCACCTAGGTTCAGGTGATCCTTCTTCCTCAGCCACCCAAGTAGCTAGAATTACAGGCAGCACCACCATGCCCAGCTAATTTTTTTTGAACTTTTGTAGAAACAAAGTCTCACTATGTTCCCCGGCTGTTCTCGAACTCCTGGACTCAAGCGATCCTCCCACTTTGGCCTCCCAAAGCGCTGGGATTACTGGCATGAGCTACCATGCCTGTATATTTAAAATTAAGGCTTAAATAATTAAGTTAATTATTTTTTGAGTTGGAATCTCACTTTGTCGCCCAGACTGGAGTGCAGTGGCACGCTCACAGCCACCACGGCCTTGACCTGCTGGGCTCCGGTGATCCTTCTGCCTCAGCCTATCAAGTAGCTAGGACCACAGGGTGGTCACATGCCATCATGCTCTGCTAATTTTTTGATTTGTTATATAGACGAGGTCTTGCCAAGTTGCCCAGGTTGTTCTTGAACACATGGGCTCAGGTAATCCTCTTGCCTCGGCCTCTCAAAGCACAGGGATTACACGCTTGAGCCACCACGTCCAGCCACCATTCCACTTATAAAAATATAATATCTATTTTTATAAGTGGAAATTACAAATTAAGAAACAAAGGCTTTGCAAAGTTCTTACCTGCTGAGCTGGAGGGGTAGGCGTTGGAGTTGCAAGCCCCGCATCTGCACCATCAATATCAAAGAGGTCATTTGGACTAATTCCACTCTCACTCAAAGCAGCAAGCAATAAATCTTGCCCTGGCTCCACCATCTTTAGAAGGAAATATTAAATGTTAACATAAAACAGGTAACAAACTGTCTTCTGAAATAAACAACCCAACATTTTCTACCAAACTCATTTCATCAGATTTTATAAAGAACTTGCTATGTTCCAGGCAAAGATGATAAAAAAGAAAGTCTCTGATCCCAAGAAACACACACTAAGATGGAAACGACAGAGAAGTGCATAAATCACAACACAAGTATATATCTACAAAAGGCTATGGGAACAGAGAAGTAAATACTGAACATTGCCTAGGTAGAGGTTTCAAAGATGACAATGTAGCTTAGCCTCAGGGAAGAAATCACCAGGTCAACATGAATCTCCTGAACAGTGCATTCAAGCTTATGGTGGCATGAAAGAATTTGACACTCTTTAAGAACTATGGATGAGCCGGGCTCGGTGGCTCAGCCTGTAATCCCATGCTTTGCGAAGCTGAGGTGAATGGACTGCCTGAGCCCGAGGGTTTGAGACCCGCCTGGGCAACTTGGCGAGACTTCACCTCTACAATAAATCAAAAATCAGCTGGGTTCGATGACTCAGCCTGTAATCCTGCACCTTGGGAGGCTGAGGTGGGTGGATTGCCTGAGTCCGCGGGTTCGAGACCCGCCTGGGCAACTTGGTGAGACCTCATCTCTACAATAAATCAAAAAATTAGCCGGGCATGGGAGCGCACGCCTGTAATTCCAGCTACTTGGAAGGATCGCCAGAGCCCAGCAGGTTGAGTCTATAGTGGCCAGGAGCGGCCACTGCACTCCAGTCTGGGCAACAGAGTGAGACTCTGACTCAAAAATAAATAAGTAAATAAATAAATAAATAAAAAGTCAACCGGGCGTGTTAGCGCACACTTGTAGTTCCAGCTACTTGGAAGGCTAAGGCGGAAGGATTGCCGGAGCCCAACAAGTCGAGGCTGCGGTGGCCGGGAGCGGCCACTGCACTCCAGTCTGGGTGACAGAGTGAGATTCCAACTCAAAAAAAAAAAAAGAAAAAGAAAAAAAAAGCCGGGCTCAGTGGCTCAGCCTGTAATTCCGTGCCTTTGGGAGGCTGAGATGAGTGGATTTCCTGAGCCTGTGGGTTCAAGACCCGTCTGGGCAACTTGGCAAGACCTCATCTCTACAATAAATCAAAAAAATCAGCCAGGCATGGCAGCACATGCCTGTAATTCCGGCTACTCAGAAGGCTGAGGCAGAAGGTTC